CTTATAAATAATAAATTCAAAGGATACATTTCTAGTCTACTTATTAAGGGGAAATGTGGACATTTTGAAGGGTTTTTTWAATATTTTATAGCAATTGATCCGCGTGGCGTGATGTGATGAATATTTGCGGTAGCTCCCACTAGCTCTCTCTTGATTGGCTCGTTGTACGCATTATCGCGAGTCAATCTAGCGGTCTCCGGGTTACCAGGGTGATTAGTGCKCCGCTTTACTATATATTCATCAATGAAAACAAAGAAAACAAAGAAAACTCTGTTGCTTCTGATACCACTGACAAGTACAGGAATATCTTACCCCACAGAAAGCTAAACTRAAAGCCATGAAGAAAGAAACGCGCAGACTCATCGTCCGAACTTTTCTTTTTTTATGCTACCTTGCTTTAGGAATGGTAGTGTTCAGGATACTGGAATCAAATAATGAGATGATAGAAAGAAAGAAGGCACAAGGAGACATTGAAGAAATGAAACGAAAGTTTAACGTCTCTGACGAGGAAATGCGTCAATTTGTAACGGTCATCGAGAGGGCGRCGAGATACGGTTTTTTGTCAAACTGGGTTGAGAAATGGAGTTATACCGGCTCGYTGTTCTTCTCCGGTACGGTAATAACGACCATAGGTGAGTTTTTAATATAGCAATTCATACCGATTATGAAYTGCTGGCTGACACGTGCCACTATTAATTTTGTACCWTATATCACTCAAGTGCTGATCATTTACTGGCTTTTGTCAGACTTTTAAACATATCGGTGTAGCTAAGTTCAAATATTATTAATGTTCAATTACGTATAAAGAAAATATCATAATATACGAATGTTGTATAAAATTATAATTGCCCTTGATTATATGTTTTACGACACGAACGGTTTTTTTTTAATGTACACTTTTCGTTCAAATAGCAACTTTTGTTAAATCAATTTACAATGATAAATACTGAATGGATATTCAATTAATCTTATTTTCTTTTTTAGTTTCTTCCTAATATTAGTTCACTGTTAATTTTAACCATATTCGACGCGGAATGAAACAGTCATGTTTTAAATTAGATTGAAGCTGTTTGCAACTGCCACTCTACACACTGAAACTGACGCGTTTAACACGTCAAAACGCGAGCTAAAAATCACGTTACGCAATTTCTTATTCTGTTCTTATATGTTTATTATTCAAGAGTATTGATCGATCAATTATGAAAATTCAACGAGGGATAAGAGCCATGTATATGTATGAGATAATAATATATCTTATAAGAGCGTCAATAGCCACTAGGTCATATTCAGTCGTCTGATCTTTCAAATGTCGAATTATTGTAGTTCCTGATACAGAGAGGGGATCTACTATGTAAATAATTATACCAGTAACTTTTAACGTGTCCCGGAGAGCTGAAAAAGGCATAGGTATTTTTTAATATATCAAATCTCGTRCTGCGCTCTCGGCTCTTGCATCATACGGACCGCATGCATCAACAGGACATCACAGCAGACTCATATGGGGGACAAAGCAAAAGTCTCTTTCTTTGAAACCCCCTCATGTCCATAAAAATATAGTTCATGGACGTATTTTTATTTTTCCGTAAGACTATCAAAAATGCGTAAGTCACGTTCTAAAGATTGATACCAATAAAAGAACGTAACAAATACGCATCAGTTGCATTAAGTAGTATTCACACTGATGCGTTCTCGTAGTGTTTTTGTACTTGTTCTCCGCGCCCATGAAGGAATTATCCCGCACAAAATACACAAAGCCCATGCTAAAAATTCGCGCATTAGTTACGTTTGCTACCACTCACACTAGTGCGTTTTCCTTGCGTATTTCTGATGTTTTCCGTCCTCAAGAAATAAAAACAGATATGTATGCGTTACATTTAAGCATGGCATCCGGACATACTAATGCATATCGGGGCAGCTACCGCAGATAATCAGCGTTAAAACGTGACGCGGATAGAGATATAACAGTATAAAAAAAAGACTTTCACCATGCGGTCCACATTTCCTCTTGGAAAGTCAACTATTCCTTAGRCCGGTAATTGAAAATACCCATTACGTCTTGCGAGACTTCGCGCGCGCCCTTGATTTTCAATCCGCGACCGTGAAAGAACAATATGCTCGTTAATAGACAGTCGTTTTCTTTTCACGGCCGATGTGAAATCACTCAAGCGTCAGTCATACGTCAACGTCACTTAATTTTCATTGCGACAGAAAGAAAATCTGTTCGCCACATTCAAAATCAACATCAATTGATTGACGTAGTACTAGGACTGAGCAGGCCAAGAATTGTCACCACAATAAAATACTTAAAAACCACCAAATTATTTCATAATTTTTCTTTCTTTTTTTAAACTCCACGCAGGATATGGCCACCTTGCGCCCGCTACCACAGGTGGGAGACTCTTCTGCGTAGCTTACGCCTTATTTGGAATTCCTATCACGTGGCTCATGCTGACGTCAATTGGGAAGAAAATCGTCGAGCACATTGCATCATGGTTAGCGTCCGTTTGCGACTCGTGTGCGTGCTGTGATTTAAAGAGTAAACGATTTAGTTTTTTGTGTCTACTAGCTGCAATTGGTCTAAGTTTCTTGGTTATGACTGTAGTTAGTGTTGTAGGTGTCTTCAGTGAAAACTGGTCTTTCTTTGAGGGATTTTATTTTGCTTTTATTAGCCTAACTACTATAGGATTCGGAGACTACGTTCCTATGCATCCGCATATTGACAAAAAAGATCTTGAAAAGTCGTCGTTTAGAATCACTTTGTTTATTATATTCTGTTTGTTTTTGTTCTCGTTTGGGCTCGCAGTAACAACCAGTGTTCTACTATCGATTAGAAAAATCATGGAAGATCAGACAATACTTGAATTTCAATCACTGTACAGTTCGGCTTCAGATGAAGAGGACGAGAAAGACGTCAAATCTAAAGGTGATGATTAAAAAGTCTACTCGCCTCGTAGAAGCATTACTGGGAAATCTCATGCTGCCACAGGTAGCCCAAAAATCATGGACGAACATATCAGGAACGGCATTTCAGTATCAACCAAGTGCACCATGATGTTTGCCGTATAAATTAAAACTTCTCCCGCAATGAATTACTGGGAAATCACACACACGCTTCCATAGGATATATTAACAAATTACCATATGCAGGTAGATATAACAGGAAATTGGAAAAGGAAATGCACATATTTATATATTTTAGACCTACAGCATTTGGTACTTGATACCACAGGAACTCCAAAAAAGTTTCACTTAGTTCAACAAAAGAACATACCACAAAGAATTACTAGGACGGGTAAAACTATTTTTAAAAGCATTGAATACAACTATTCAAAATGTCATCACTGTTCCCATAGAAATTTGAAGGCTTTTTACGGTTAAGTAAGGTTAAGTTAAGGTTCGTCCTTATTCGTCACTCGTATTTAATATTCTACCTGACGATTGGTCTCCGAGTTTTCACCGTCGATGTACGGATTACACCCGACAACCAGGCGACTGGAAATCGATTAGAGAAKAAATCCTTTTGCCCATTTAATTATAATTCGATTTACTTTTGTTTTCTCAGGCTTGTTTGCTGTTTAAATTAAAATATAAATTAATATGTGATTGCATTGACTCAGTCTCTTTATTAAAAACTGAAGAGCGATGGCGTCTGTGTGAGACTATAATTCTTGGGGGTGATCATGGGGTGACGACAGCCACTTTTGTCTCGACAATCAAATTGAATTCACCTGTGTCTAATTGTTAATCAAAGATATTTTGAAGAACAAAACACGTTTGAGCAGTTCGCATAAGCGAGATTTTACTAATTTAACGTAAATTATTTATGTTCCCCGATTATATTTCTTAGTTTTGATCGAAAACAGCAAAAAATGGAGTTCCGCCATCTTTGTTACACGTTGTCATAACAACGTCTATTGGTGACATAGGCATTGGTCAACTCTATATGCCTTATATCTAGTGCATAAAACATCTGACCATCAGACCAAGCAAACAAATAACAGTAAAAAAGAGGTGGTGTTGCGTGGGCTCCCGTTCTTTATTTTTCTAATCCGGAATATTTTAATAGAAAGATTATGGTAAATTTGTTTTTCAAAGTAAGCTTCATTGGAGTGCCAAGTGGCTAATTAAGACCTGTTTTAAACAGCGAATTTAATATATACCGAGTTCAGAGCAATTTACGCTTATATATAGTAAAGTTTTTTTTAAAAGAGTTGGCTATATATGGCAGTATTGGATTTGGAATGCGTCTCATAAAAGTGTGGAATTTGAGAATATCTCAGTGAACTTCAAGAGGCGAGAATTGAATGGCTGCACGAATAAATTAAATTGCATTTTAGGACTTTTTAAAGTGGGCGATGTTCTTTTATACGTTTATTAAATGTGGAAGCGAACTAGAATCATCCAGCTGCGCTGTCACTAATCAAATTAAATGAACTATAAAGGGATTAATAAAATGGATGAATACATAAATGAATGGATGAATAAATGAAAGATTGTATAAATGGATGCATTAATCAGGATACAAAAATGAAAGCCGGAATATTAAAAATGGATAATACCTGATTATAAGAACATTGTCATATAAAAAGGAATATTTGTGTTTTGGTGAAAAGAAATAACTTATATAAGAGGCACGAATGTCACTTAGTCTGAAAGCTTTCTTTTTTATAATCCATTCCTTATTTACTAAATACAAATCTTGTATTTCTCTATGACAACGCTCTTAGCTGTAAAATAACACCAATTTAAAATTAGAAATTATTAAGAAGGATTTTATAAAGTCGTCCTCGGTCCTCTCACCAGTAGGGACTCCAAGTATGTTGCGGTACCGGTTTGCTTAGAACGTGCTTAGTTAGTTTGACGCAAATACATGCAGATAAATGAAATAATGAAATGTGGATATTGTAGCTAATCACTGATTGAATATATATTAAATATTTTGGGTTTAGATGCCAAACTTAGCAGTAACGACGAAAACAAAAACATCTCAAATTAGCTTGTACGTGGGTAGTCGCCACTGAACAGCGTATAACTTGCTTGTTAGTTCATTTCTTATTTTGGCTAATCCCACTTTGTTTTTTCTTCCTAATAGCTTTATCTAATTTGAGTGTTTTTATTTGCTTGTTTGTTTATGTGTTGTACTAATTAAATGTCTTTTTGYGTTACTTGCTTACGTTGTTTGTGTTTTTCTTTCTCATAATTGTTTCCTCGTTAATAAGTTTCTTGCAGCTTGCTTTGCTTGCGCGTTTTCGTTAYTTGCTTRCTCCTTTGTTTATTTTCTGTTTTTTTCATCTTTTCTCACGCCAATTGCATTAACTTGCATGGTACGTGCAAACATTTTCGTGCTCTAACGTTAGTGCAACTGTAACGCAGACGGGAAATAAGAAATAAATGATTTGCCTCATACTGGCACGAACCGTTTGTGACTCGAAGAGACATGAAGCTCTACAGCGGACAAGCTGATGTCAGTATTCAAGTCTTATAAGTCAAGATACGTGTTCAAACGCGGTTTATCTAGCCATAATCATACTTAAATTAATTTTCTATAACTAAACTAAAGCTTTATAAGATCAATAAACTCGTTTTCTTATAATAAGGTACCTCAAGGAGCTTCCTGCCAAGTAAAGACTGACTAATCTGAAATGATCACTTTGGGCCACTTAACCTCGTCAGGCGAACGAAACTAGGGATTTGGGAAATAGAAAGGAAAGAGGGATCCAGTTGGATATGAAAACACTGCATTGATGTTTTATTAGTACTTATATGATAGTATGACATGTTACATAAATAATGAATAATTGAAAATGACAGATTTTTTATTTCTTAGTTGACGGTTTCATGGACTTGTTTTTTAGAAGTATTTGATGATGCTGAGTATGATATGAAGCATTGTTGGCTGAGCTTGAGTATGATATGAAGCATTGTTGGCTGAGCCTGAGTATGATATGAAAAATTATTGGTTGAATCTAAGTACGATATGACAAAATCATTGAGTGAAGCTGAGTATGATATGAAGCATTATCATTGGCTGAGGTGAAGCATGATATGAAACATTGTTGGCTGTGACTGTGTATAATATGAAACATTATTGACCAGGCTAAGTATGATATGAAGCATTATTGGATGAAGCTAAGTACGACATGAAACTTTGTTAGCTGAGCTTGAGTATGATATGAAACATTGTTGGCTGTGACTGTGTATAATATGAAACATTATTGACCAGGCTAAGTATGATATGAAGCATTATTGGATGAAGCTAAGTACGACATGAAACTTTGTTAGCTGAGCTTGAGTATGATATGAAGTATTGTTGGTTGAGTCTGAGTATGATATGAAATATTARTGGTTGAAGCTGAGTATGATATGAAACATTATTGAATTATACAGCTAATGGTTAATAGAGTGTAGCAGGCTGGTAATTGACACTTACTGGTACCAAGTTCCCTCGATATACCATTCTTACTTAATTTGAAGCCACCATTTTCAAATTCATTGATAATCTTATGTTTATTGATACAGATTACGAAACGGTTCATTTTGAACGTAAACGACATACTGATTCTAAAATACATTTGATCGGTGAAAAACAAATTCAGATATACTAGAATTGTTGGGAAAAAACTTGGAGATTGCAGTCTTTAAAATACAGCTCTTATGTTAACGCAAAAAATACTGCAAAGTAGTCCTTGTGATTTAAGCCTTTTCCAATGAAGTGATCATTTATTGAGGGAAGTAATTTGTAAACAACCAAAACAATGAGGGAATGTTTTGGTGAAACGTTATGGGACTGGGTTTTATCCAGAATGTTTTGTATTTTTCCTTTAAACATCGAACTACAGCAATAACTCTCTTCCATAAAACACGTTTTATAGATCCTGGAGCAGAAGAGAAACATTATATTGCCTAACAATACCATTTAATCTATTTGCTTCCTGTCATGAGCTTTTTAATCTTAACATTGAAAATGAGTTTTGCTTTTGTTATCCAAAGAGATCCTCAACTGAAAGCGTATAATGGTACGAAACAAACTCGGAAGAGATGCTTTGTTCAAACCTACTTTTCTTTTAAAAAGCGAGAAGGATATTCAATTAGACATAAAAAAAGTTTCAAATTTCAAACGTGTAGGTGCTTTTTTCAACTTTATTGTTCATATTCAGATACTTTGATACGAAGTCCGTACGATCATTGGAAACCCTACAGTAAACAGTTACGTATAAGAGCAGAAAATTTCAAACTATTTTATATCACTAGAAAGGTTTTTTTACCAAATAGTTGAGCTGTAAGAAGATAGCTTTTAAATTTTTCCTTTATAGTTAAAAGCTAAGTAAACAGAATCAGTGAAGAAGCAGCTGAAAAGCACGTTTCGTTTCGCACCTCAACGCGAAAACAAAAACCAGACGCCATGTTACCTAACCTTGGCAAAAATCACTTTTACTTTCAGATAAGTCMCAATTATTATAATATGTGAACTGATAATTCATCTTTTGAACATATCATGTTATTCTTAAGCAGTATTATTATCTAGAACTGTAAGAGTAAATAGCTGAGCCAGGTGTAGATAATAACATTAACGAGGAAAAAAAAAACTCAACTTTTGTTGTTGCATAATTTCAGCTTCATCATCGCCGGTGTTGCGAATGCGTTAAGTGTATAGTGCTTAGAATTATGTCCATTAAGGCAATGGTGTCAAATTTTCCCATTACCTTTTCCTGCTAATTTTACATGTAATACAACTATTTCTGCGTGAATTTGTGRGAATTTCACATTTTCTTGTATAAAGATGGTTACAWTTGAACGAGTGGGAACAGAAAAATCTACATGCGTCAAGCTACGCCAAGAGAAAATGATCTTAGAACCCTCTTGGCTATGTTTCCAGAAAGAAAAATAAAACACAAAAGCACGTATCAATCTAAAATGCTCCCACTTGATTTAAAATGTGCCTGTTTTCCAATGTTATCATTCTAAAAGGTTTGGTTTATAGATTTTCAAATTATAGTGAATTTATACATATGAACAAACATCAAATAGAAGAAAAATCCGCACGTCGGCGCGAGGATAAAAGTACCATCTTTCGATCGGCGTTCACACTATAATGCTATCGATACACAACATTTAGTCTTAAAAACAATAGGTTTTTACAAAGGTTTTTCAAGTGTAATCCTTTGAGATTATCCACACCATCCGAACAGAATGCAGTTGCGTTTTCCCACATCTTGATTGACAGCTGACCACGCCTACGACGCATGCAAACGCTTCTGGGTCAAAATATAGGCATTTAAATCTTTTTGCCGTTAGCAATATGAACACCTTTTTTTAATAACGCAATATGAACACTTAAATCGCCTGCATATAGCCCGTCTCTATCGAGTTTAGTTTATGTGGCTTTAACATCAGATAATTCTTGACTTGGCGCGCATGCGTTTGGTGGTTTCTAGTAGTTTCGCGCGGAACAAGCAACTCCTACGCACGGTACGTCTCAGCGCTTGTGACACAAGAAAAACAAACACAAATTATTCATGATTAATTCATTTATTGTCCGTCTATCAAATATTACAGCAACCAACCGGACAAACAGCAGCACTAGTGAGACTCACAATTTGGGTTCTTTTGTTGGCTCATTGTTAACTGTGGTTTGAACGGAAAATTCCGCGCGGAAATGAGCCGGTTTGGAGACTTCCTGGAGTGCACCGTGTTTGACACGTTCAACTTGTAGCTATTAGTTTACTTCAGTCAGAGTAGCAAAAACGGAAAACGCGTCGCAAAAATCGGACAGAAATAACAACATAAGCCTTCGGGCTGGAAGAGATGTGGTTCGCACCGGGCTCGAAGCATCTTATCATCTTGATGGCACTCTTCTTTTCCTATATTCTACTTGGCGCATTGATATTCCAAGCGCTCGAAGCTACAAATGAAGACGTCGAAAGAATTGATATGACAGTTACCAAAGAAAGATTTAAAAAGAAGTATAATATTAGCGAGGAAGATATGAAAATCTTCATGCGAAAAATCGAGGACGTTATTGACCATGGGTACAGTGAGAAATGGGTGCGGAGGTGGTCTCTTCTGGGCTCGGTGTTTTTCGCGGGCACTGTTGTCACAACCATAGGTAGGGAAATTCTATTCTTCTTATATATTCAAGAAGAGCTTAAATTATATGAAATTACAGCGCACAGAGCATTCTGATGGAGCGCGTTTAACACATATCTGAGCGCAGACGAAACGTTAACATTATTAAGACATTAATACTTAATTTCAAATTCATAAAAGAGCATGTGCGTATTTTTTGTTGTTGTTGTTTTTTTTTTCCTCGGCTTTTTTTACAAAAAGCTTTTAATTTACTGTTATGTGTTGGCTAATGCGTTTGGTATATTTTACTTAATGTTGATATATTTTACTTAATATATATCAATATACTTTTGTGATAAGTCTAGCTATATTGTGAAATTAAATTGTCAGTATCTTCGTGTGACACATGTAGGTGAAAACGCAAAAGTGCCGGTTTGAAAAACCTCTGAAATAAAGAAAAGTTTTTGTCAATTCGACCATAAACATTATCCCAACCACTATCTAATTATCTCAGCCTTTCAATTGTCATCTACCCGGTTCAATTCTTAATCAATCCTGCTATCAACAAGGACGGTACTAGAATCGAGGTCTAGAATATATTAGGGAAGCCGTTTTATTCTTGAAATGGCATTCAATCATGGGTAATTCTCGGGTATGCAAAATGGACTCGAAACGACTTCAATTGCATTCAAACTCCATTGTGATTTTTCAGCTGTTTAGGGATGTTCATTTTGAAAATGAATGAGTTCTCATTTGCATATTGTGTTTCAAACGTAGGAGGTTTCGTCAAAAAGAGGAACTTACGCTTGTAGATAAGAGAGGACAAAGACTAAATCTGCGAAAAGATTTTTCAATTTTCTTCGCGTGAATAAAGGTCTGAATTATTACTCCAAGAGCGCTTTACTTCGCAGAGCTTTTGACCCTAAAAATTCTATATAAGCCTGGAGGTATAAAGATAAGATTTTAAAAGATCTTGGACACCTACGCTTTTTGCAATGCTTTTTACAAGCGCGCCTTTCAGCCGTAGAAGCGAACTCCCCTATCGTGTCCTACGCTACTGACAAAAGGCAAGCGGTTTATTATAAATCTAATTGATTGAATGGACGTTTTTTATTGTTTTTTAAGGGTAACAATTTATCAAATGAGACCACATCCATTTACACTTTTGCGCAGTCTTAAAGTACTATGTTAAAAAGGAAAAAAAAATCATCATTCTTTATAAACGAAGCTTTTAGAGTCTTATATATTAATACCTTGTAAGGTATTTCTTTCCTTTCCAATCAAGATGTTAATCCTAATTAGATAAGTTTTGACTTCAAATTCAGACAATCAATATATAGCTTTAAGCCATCGAGCAATATTCTGTGTAATGCGTATTTTATTTTATTTTAAATATGAAGGTTTTAGATACAAATTTGAGCTCTAGATAAAGAGGTTTCAAATTCGTATGACTATTATAGACCTAAGCTCGAATATATGATTCCTGAGCACCGGSCTGAGCGCAAGCTCTTAACCTAAGATCTGAAAGACTGGTTTAATCTGATCAAAATGTTTTAGGCATGAAAATGCCTTAGGCTTACYCGACAATATTTTTGATGATTTCGAAGTAGAGTCTAAGATGTACAAGATAGTATAAAAACAATTGAGTGTTTTTWTATATATATATAGGAAATCGATTAATTCATCGGGAAATGCATCATATATTTATATACAATTTTTCCCATTCTCCAATTAATGCATCCACAATCATTTAGCAACTACATTCATCAGATTTCAATAAATCCTACAAATCCATCCAATCCATTCATTACATACAAATATCCAAAATCTCATCCAACCATCCATATATTTTCATAATTTTTGGTTTCCAAAACATATGCCAACCAAATYACAACTGTTTTATCCAACCGAAAGCCCACGGAGTTTAGTTTTTTTTAAAGCGTTTTATTTCATACATTGTTGTGGTACATAGCTATTATTCCAATTTTGGTTTGACCAATTTAATCATGGTCGCACTTTAAACTTCACATGTGCTTTTATGGATAATTGAACATCAATACATTTATTATTGATTAAAGGCAAATATAATGTGCTTGTATAACAGCCTTTTGATTGTTATTAAATCGACTAATGCACACATCAGAAAAATATGTTCACGACAACATTATTACTGCGCTTTCCAAGCCTGAAGGTACTTGCATTTAGTGCCTTCATTTATCAATATAATCGATTTTATGTTGTCTTTTTTTCAATGTCATGGTATTTGTCAAAATGATAGAATTCTGACCGAGTCTCTTACTTGGCGCCTCTGCTCTCAAGAGTCTTTGAATTGAGTTATCAATTTAGATGATATATATTTGTGGCTTTTTGTTGAGCATTGTGTAGGTGTGTTAGCACGTCTTTTACGTTTTCAGCTCTTCACGTGCCTTTGCAATTCCTCTTAGGGACTGCGCAATATCAGGGCTTATCAGGAGGGGGGGGGGGGGTAGCATGAGAAACGAGCCAAAAAATTAAAAAAGTTAATTACTACACCCCCTGCAAACGATATAATTTGTTTATTTATTATTATTATTAGAGTTGTCGCAAATCGTGGCACGCTTTTCTTGAGACGTTTTCGAATCTGACTGTTGATTTTTCAGTTTCCAATTAAAGTTCGAGTTAGTTTTAGGCGTTGCCCCCTTTGAGCACATAAAATTAGATGTTGCCCCCCCTCTGGACTCTCAATCCCCCTCCTGATAAATATTGCCCAGTCCCTTAGTGATCTGTCTGCCCTTCTGTGCTGTGCTTTTCTCTAAGTGTAGTCCTCTCCTCTTCTGTCCAGTCCTTCCCTCCTCTACATCCCTTTCGGTTCCATGCAGTCCTTTCTTCTTCTTCCAGTCATTTCCTCTTATCATGGAAAATGATGAGCATTTTTTTCACAATTTTGTTTACAATCTCCTTTTCTCTATTATTGATAAAGCTTTCAAGTGATGATTAATACTTTTGATATGCACTCGCATAAAAAAAATCATTCAAAGTAGAAAGACCAAAAAATGAATAAAAAAAACCCTCTTGATATTTTCAACTATAGAAAAATGGATTCATCTGGTTTCCAGCAAATTTCACATTCAAAATTCCACCATTTTAGGTTAACCAGTAAATAAGACAGTCGGTCATTCATTTATATTCAGTCAGACACGAGTCATAGCGTCAGCGAGTAACTCAGCATACCTTCCTAATTTCTTCTATTTCTAAATGTTTCCAGGGTATGGTCACGTGACACCATGCACAGTTTCCGGTCGAATCTTTTGCATATTTTATGCGCTCATCGGGATACCGCTGACCTGGTTGATGCTATCAACGCTGGCTCAGCAAATCAACCATTGGATCCACCAGGCGATTTCATTCATCTACGAGCGATGTTTGAATCGTACGCCATCTAGAATAGCTGCGATGTGTACATTCATAAGCGCGCTGATAAGTACCGTCATGATCCTCATCATAGCTACGCTGGCGTACTTCCTGGAGGGATGGTCCTTTATTAACGGAATCTACTTCGGATTCATCACTCTGACAACGATAGGATTCGGGGATTTTGTCCCGCTGCATCCGTCGCCCGACCGCGATCCCGAGGGATATCCGACGCGCGTCGTACTATTCACGATTACAAGCATCATATATTTCACGATCGGTCTTGCTGTCGTGTCCAGTGTGTTGATATCGTTCCGTAATGCGATGGAGGAGAGATACATTGACGGGTTTCAGATTATTAAAGATCAAAGTGAAGAGGAGAAGAATAAGAGGAAGCTTCTGCCGCGCTAGTTGATAGACTGCGTTACTATTTGTCACGCTAATTGTTGATTTATGCTAACTAACGTGACGTTTCTAGACTGCCATCGTGACTATGATAAACTGCGTTACTCGTGTCACGCAAGTCAATTAACTTTGACTGATGAACAGATTCTGCGTGACTTACGTCCGGAACAAAAGAAGCTGCTTTGAATTGAATGGGAATTGATATAAATTGGCTAAACTCAATCAAGAACTTAGAGCATCGCGCAACAAAAATAGCAATAAGTAATGCAATACCACCTAAATAGTCTCCTTCACGGTTTCCATACGCCAACCTGGAAGGTAGCCGTGCCTTTACATCGAAGCGAGACAACCGTTGAGCGTGCAATGATAGATTGTAAATAATTATCTGTAGGTGTGAAAGGTTTCTATCATTGCACGCTCAACGGTCGTCTCGCTTCGATGCAAAGGCACGGCTACCTTTCAAAATGGCGCAGGGAGCCGTGCAGAAGACTATTCTCTCAACCAATCTTGAGAAGGGAGGGGAGGGTGGAAAACCCGCCCCTTACCCCTCAAACAAAACACGTGGCGTGGGTTAAGGAATTTTTCAAGGGTTGAGAATGCGTGTAACTCCTTCATGTTCGGTTTTTAAACGYGCCGTCAGTGCATTTTTGTTATACGTGTTAAATCCCTGAAAYGTTTCTCCATTATTTAATGTTTCCATTTTTGCTTTTCAAAGTTTATTTCTATTTTTTGAAGGTTTGTAAATAGCATAAAGAAATGAAATGAAATCCATCTATTCTTCATTAAATAAAGACATTAGTAAAACTCCATTTATTGTGACATATTTATTCATTTTTTCCTTTATTTTTGTTCATTTAAATAGACTACAAAATTATAAAAAACACTCAACAAATATTTAACAATTTGCATTTAGTAAAAACCGTTTTTTTGTTCAAAGTTTAAAACAGCAATTTCATCATAAATAAATACGTATTTGATTTTTTTTGTTTATTTAAAAGATCCAGTTTTCATTTCATATATTGTTCAGATAAAACCATCATAATAATAGAAATTTTTACATCGCACAGAATATAAAAATTTGATAAGACATTAGTTTTGTTTGCACAGGCAACCTAACCTGGAATAGACTGAAAGTTACAGCAATTTATGCCCTTTTATTTTCAGGGGTTATTGTACTATTACAAGTGAAAGCAATAGAATTGGAAACTATCAAAATAGATGCCATTTCTACTCGGTTTATTTGTAATAATTATAAGCCGGTGAAACAAAATCTAGGCGCATTTCGTCAAATAGATACTGTACAAAAGAATACTTGCTTATCAATGCTATTTGACCAATAACAACGCGTAAAATTATTGCTCTATTGACCAATGACGGAGAGAGTAATATTTTGTTATAACATTGACCAATCATAGTGCGCCTACCATTGTTGTTACATTGACCAATGATAGCACGCGTAAACCTGCCACTACTGTATATTGACCAATGACAGCAAGCGTAATATTTTGTCACTACATTGACAAATAGCCATTGTTGATATATACATACATTGACCTGTGATAGCACGCCTTACATTTTTGCTATATTGACCAATGACAACAAGCATAATATCTTGTTACTACACTGACCAATGATATTGTGTGTTGCTATATTGACCAATGATAGGGCGTGTTATATTATTATTTTTACCTTTACATCACACCCATCTCATTCTATCTACAACATTGGGAACAGGTGTATTCTTATTTACTCGCCTCCTGAAACGCAAAAATAAACCACAAATCACAAATAGAACTGCCAGTCAGGATACTCTCGAAGCTRGGTCAAGTATGKGACATCATAATCGTCTTTAAGTTAAAATAAAAGTAAATCTCTCAATAGCCATACTGACTGAGAAAACCTGGAGCCTAAAGTGTGCTTAAAGGGGCTCAGSAGACGTTGTGACYAGTGCCTCGAAATTACAGAGTACTTTATCATTAGGAACATAGACWAAAGTCAAGTGGATGCCATCGAAATGGAGTGATAAGACACAAACAATGATTTTCTTAAGAAGAGTAAAGTAAAGAGTAAACTAAAGATGTAAAAAAAAAACACCAAAAGTGCGCAACATTTGCCATATTTGCTGCTTAAAAAATAGTGTTAATTAAACAATAGAATTAGCATAATTTAGCAATATTCATGCTACACACTCTGCGTGTTCTCTCTAATATAACGTGTTCTGTGATTGGCCAAAAGATGAGATTTGACGCGCAACCTCATTGGCTAAATAATGGTTCACACAGTTGAATAAAAGATACAAAAAACCTTGCAACTGAACGTTCAGTACGTCGTCTAATTGAAGCAAGATACAGCGATAGTGCTTACGAGTTGTCTAAACCAAAAACCATGTCGCATACATGTTGTGCGTGGTAATGGTAGTTTAGTTACCAGAATAAATTTCCAGGTGCTTTCATAGCAGTTCTCTCTCGCAGCTGTTACGAGTCTCGTTTCCCTGAACGAGCCTGGGAACGAGCCTCGTGARGMCTGCGAGAGGACAGCAAATAATCCACATGTTAGTGCGTCCTTACCATGGATTTACATTAGTTCTTCTATTAGGAGCATTACTTGTAAAAAGAGCCAACGGAACACCGTACGTAGCAACTTTAGCACTCCTTGACGACCGTTCCGCACGACGATAATGTTTAGCGAGTCGTACGCAAAGGATGATGGATATTAATGAAAAGACTGCTATGGTTCCCAAGGACAGCCAGAGCGCGTTCTGGTGGAATAAATCGATATATTTGTCAGTGATAATTTGTTTTAACGTCCACACGACAACAGAACAAGACAGAATGCCATTACACCATACAGCAAGACACATTGTATCGCTGCAGAGTAAGGCACAAGGAAGAGGCAGAGTGCAGAGGATAGTGGCCAGGGGGGGGCAGGAGGCAGGGGTAAGGGGACAGGGGTCAGGAGGCAGAGCAAGACACATTGTATCGCTGCTGAGGAAGGCACAAGGAAGAGGCAGAGTGCAGAGGATAGTGGCCAGGGGGGGGCAGGAGGCAGGGGTAAGGGGACAGGGGGCAGGAGGCAGAGGGCAGGGACCAGTGGCCAGGTTTCAGTGCACACTTACCACTGGACTAAGAAAGGTTTCACAAAAGGCAGTCGTTGAGGCATCGTAAGCTTTCTTGACGGACGAGCATTCACCAACTCTGTTATTAACCTATAATATACACCTGAATGTAAGTACTAGTAGTTAAACGAATCAAGGAAAATACATGATTAATGAAAACAACAAAATGGACATAAAAATGAACAATAAACTCACCTTGTACATAGCATCTTTTAGATACTGATCAATCCAACTAAGAACTCGATTAATGTACGACCTCGCGGCCTAGCAATGAATGAATAAATTAATTGATAAACACACTCATTAATTATCCTAGCCAATCAGAGCGCGCGTACTATCTAAGCCATATAATAACTTAACTTAAATAAGCATTTACCTTATTGGCTAAAACTAACGCATCATTCTGGAGAAATTTGTCTACGTTGTGGACAGTCGCCAACACATTATTAATGCAATGCTGCAGGAAAACAAAAGTGTTAATGACATCTACATCAATAGCGCCATCACCGTCCGCATCGCTTTAACTCTCCCCCCTCAACATCCCATATTAACACCATCCACCGTTATTATCAGCCCTTCCACTAACATTAAATAACTTATGAAATTATCTCGTCCCCAGACTATACCGCATGAAGTAATGCGGGAGAAGAGGCCTGAGGACGAGGTTACATATTATCATTAACATGACCAGTAGTTCTTCTTACCAAAGTCTCGTTTGCTTTTTCTTCTAATTTGAGTACTTTGGCCTTAAGAATGCTCTAAATAAAATAAGAAATTACGTAACACGGTTAGAATTAGCAACTAAAACCGTTGTTTACGTGGTAGTGATATTACGAAAAAGCACGATTTGTACTTACGACGAGCGTTAAAGAGGCGTCAATGGTGTCTTCTTGTATCTCTTCAAGTCGATTGGATAAGAATTCGAGATTATCGGCAATAGCCTAAGTAATTAATCAATGTTTATTTAGTTCATGATAATCAATCAATCAATCAATCAATCAATCAATCAATCAATCAATCAATCGATCAATCAATCAATCAATCAATCGATCAATCATTCAATCAAACAATCGATCAATCAAACAATCCATCGCTACGATCAATCACTACGATAAATCAATCAATCAACCTATCAGTCAATCAAGCAATCAATCAATCAATTTCATATTTACCTCGCTGCTTGACCTGGCTTGCGTCGATAAAAAGGACAAGTTTGAAGAAAATTGTACAATAGAGACAGCAACAAGCGGCAAACCAATCTACAACATAAATCATATCTCAAAACAAAATTCTATCACCGAACCTGTCAAACTAGTTATACCTGTTCTTTAAACTTGTTAAAATCAATGGAGTGTACATTGGCTTCAAGGGAATCGTTGAGGTTTTTACCAAGCTCTTCGGTTACTATGGAGACGTTAGCGACCGTTGCGTTGAGTTTATTGAATATTTCGTCCATTGGTGGGATTTTCTGAAAAAAAAAAAAAAAACAGAAAACAATGATTCCATTTCATTTCAAGAAATAGAAAGGTTTTACTGTCAGTGGATATAAGTCTTTTTCACCACGACTCTCGTTTAAATTTATATCTAAGCCATATTTTAAGTAGTCTCCTCGCAGGGAGCCCGCCACTAAGAACGGCTGCGAGGAGACTATGTTTTAAGTGTTTCATAAAATTTGGGTATTAGTTATCATGTACGGGACAAAACTCTAACAAAGATGATTTAAAATTGTTTAATAGCGACGCCGGTAACTATCTAGTTTGTTTAGGTACTTTTTATTTCATAAGAACGAAAGAGAAAGTGAAGACAGAGTTTTTTACTAACAAACGAAGAAGGAATCGCCTGGTTGATAGCTTCAAGGAGTGAATCAACGGACGGCCATTTCTAGATTGAGAAGTCATAGGAAAATACGTTAGTGGCTTGGGTAAAAGAATAAACAAAGTACAGCGATATACAYCACAGTGAAGTGRGTCYTYCACAGCACAGGTGAACAGTGCAGCATGCACAGTGAAACTAAGTGCAAGACAGCACAGCACTGGAAAATCGATAGCAAAGCGTGCAATAGTCTCCTTCATGGTTCCCTGCGCCATCTTGAAAGGTAGCCGTTCCTTTACATAGAAGCGAGACAACCGTTGAGCGTGCAATGATAGAAGCCTGTGAATAATTGTCTGTAGGTGTGAAAGAAGGTTTCTATCATTTCATGCTCAACGGTCGTCTAGCTTCGATGAAAAGGCACGGCTACCTTTCAAGATGGCGCAGGGAAACGTGAAGAAGACTATTAGAATCAAAGTGCGAGAAAGGAAATCTGTTTGCTTTAAAAAGAAAGTAATAAAGTTAACTAAAGAATTGTATTGCCAAAATGAAGCAATATCGGATACATATGTCAAACTGAAGTTGAAGATTTTAAGTAGAATCAAAATGAACTACGTACAGTGCAAGAAAGTAAATCTGTGAAGCAAAGTCAGGCATAGTGCTGCATGCTAGCAACAGTAAAATATTGTAAACCACAATATATGAAGCAATGTGAAGCATAGAGAAATAGTGTCCCAGTGCAATTAAATCGAAACTTAATGAGCCACTCTACGTGACAAAATGTAAAGCATGCGGAAACAAAGTGAGCATCAATAGCCTCAATAGTGCAGTGAATTAAACAGTGTTACCGTGAACAACAAAAGTGAAACATAGAAAACCACAGTGCGTGAGGCAATGCAAAGCATGTTAAAATAAAGCGAGCCTGAGTAGCCTCAATAGTGCAGTGAATTAAACAGCACCAACGTGAACAACAACAGTGAAACATAGAAAACCACAGTGCATGCGTGAGGCAATGCAAAGCATGGTGAAATACAGTGAGTGAGCCTCAGCGCAGAAGTAAAACAGCGCCACTTTCACGGAAAGCGACTGATAATAGTGACGCAGCAAATCAAACTGAAACGTACAGTCCAAGCAAACATAGGCAAAGGGAAGCACAGTCAATCACAGAACTTAAAGACAGTGACTGTATCGCCAAAGAAATAGTGAATGCAAGTCATGCATTCATAACATATGTGCCTACTGTTATGCTACAACATTTAGAGTCATTGCTCTCCATTCTGTTTATCTAAGACAGCAATGTCAGCATGATGGGCTCTCTGTCTTATTTTAAACTGCGAGGAACGATGGGATTATGCCTCTATTCACGACTTTCCATATTAGGTTCATTGACACAACAAAGCATTTAACCGAGGCGTCAAGGTATAGTGAGCCATAAAGAAAAGATCGGCGCTCAGTGCACCATATGACGACTCGATTCAATGCCTTGTTCGTGGTCAACGAACCTGAGTATGTAAAGTCGTGAATTGTAACAAAGAAATCCTGATAGCGTGACATAGAGTACTTACATCTCTATACGAGGTCATGTTCTGTATGTTAAATTTTTGGTCCAACTTCAAAAGCCGCCATATTGTTTCTTCTTTACCACACCCTCTGTATAGAAAAAAATGTTTGATTATATACTTTGATTATATATTTTTTGGCAGCCTAGTTTCCAAGCTCTCCCGCTCATCAATGAGCGTGTGACGCCACGTAATAGCGCGCAAAGCCTCCGTAATTTGCGCTCGCCCCAGTTTCAATTTTGCGCTCTATTTTCGTGAGTCAAAGTGTCTTGAAACAAGGATGCTTTTCATTTGCTTGAATACGCGTGTTATCAAGATTGAACTTGAACTTGTTGTACCTGAGGATGTCAGACATTCGTAGGTCAATTGAGCCATCGTCGTGCAACGCAGCTGATATAGGGAACTGGTTACCATGGACTGAAGGATCATCAATAGTCTGAAACACGTCAATATTTCTTGTAATAAACACATTAGACTATTAGACATGAAGGTGTGAAAGAAGTCAAAGCATTCCCTTCTTGTAATTGAGACAAACATTGTTATCAAAATAACTTTGATACCCTTACTCGTTTTTTCTACTATCCACCACGATAACTTAAAGAAACCTTCAAAGTCCTCACTTCTTATGTCTTCTCTTCGCCAATATCCTATACCTATAGTTAAAATAAAAACAATTCTCTATTGCCTACTGTACCTTTTCAATTAGCGTCAGGTCCTTGGTAGCTGCGCAGATGACGGTGACATTGGCGCCAAAGAGAAACAGCAAACCAAGAAGTAGGTTAATGAACAGCGACAAGAAAAAGAAAAACGCTGCCGAGCTGTAACAAAAAATGCTCATGAAAGCGATTTTTGGATTAAACATGCAATATGATTGGTTGTTTGGAACTCTCAAATGTGATTGGATGGTTACATCAAGAATTTGGATTGGTTTAAATCAATCAACAATGACTATGGTGATTGGATAGTTTTAACAAGCATTTTGATTGGCTTAAACAGAAAATTGAATCGCGACGGTGATAAGGTCGTATTGAAGTGTTAACAATTTTGATTAATTAGAAGCAGTAATCTATAGAGGGTTATTCGATTAGTTGACGTACCACATCAATGTTTTTCCACCGCAATCGGCAAGAAGAGACCTGGTGCTTGGCGTGTCGTAATCACGTGCGCCGAACACGCCAGCACTGAGCCCACAGTACGTCAGCAGCATTACAAAAAGTATAGAACAAGCCAATGAGAGAAGMCCTAAGAACCMGTAAATATCGTATTCCATGACAACYCCATCGGGACCGAGGTAGGAGTTAATACTATTCTTTATGGGCAATAATGCATTGTGCGCCATCTGCAATACAAATTAAACTGTTATATTCAAGTAGCTGATCCGCCATTGCAGTTAGAGTTACCCTATCTGGTGGAGTAACTTTAAAAAGAGTTAAATCTACTCAACGATGCGAGTAGATTTAAATCAGAGTTACTAACTCTGTTTAAATCAACTGGAAATATTGTTACTTTCTTACATTCTTCTTTAGCAATAGTATCTATTTATACCTGATCAGATGAGTTTTTAAGGTTAGAAATCATCGATGCTAAATTATCCTCGAGATCTTGTATTGTATTCAAGATATCTAAACAAAATGACAAAACTCTACGTTAGCACATCGCTTCAGGTTTTTACTACTTTGTCCCAGTTTCACAACACATGTGTAGTGTAGGAAGATCTTTATTTCAGTATAAAATTTTATTTGAGCTAAATTAATAATGCACAAATTCAGTGATTGAATTGCCCCATTGCATTATTACGTCATACTAAAACATTCTATTGTTTTAACGCTAAGGATTATGGTCGCCAGATGGGATCAGAATGACTGCATATCAAATAAAATGTAGATGAGCTATCATTGATAAATGATATACATCAAAACTCGATACACTAGTCTACTTTCGGAAAGAATATTATTGATTCAATGTAGTATTGATTCATTGACACAACGTACCTTGTCTACCAGACGCCGTGACGTTTGTAATGTCATCTGGAATTCTCTCAAACGAGTTGTTCCCCTGCAACGAACAATATAATACTTATCGATAAACCAAATAGCTAGCACTAGGAAATGGGACCAGTATTATAGGAAATAGCAACCCTTTATGACTATTTATCCTATAATACCCTCTCCTAGGCCAGCTACARAGACTAGTACTAAAGCTAAAAATTATCAGCGCAAAAGTTATAATGAGAGGTCGTTACCTTTTTGGCTTCAAGAGCTATGTCTAGCGTTATTACATCTTTAACTTTGACCAAATTTTCGGACACATCAGGCACCTGGAAGTGTGAGTGTGCTGTTAGTGTTTTTYCGRTGTAATTAGAACGACATGCAGCRAGGGCAGAAGCGAGACGAWTGGAAACCAGGGMCAATGGACAGTCGAATGTGCTTGCTMGGAATAACCAGACCCGAAAATGCCTGAAAATATGAGTACCCAGGAAACTTTCTACTGACAAAAGTAGGTTTTCTTCTTTTTGAAAGATATAAGTGGTTGAAAAACGAAAGGGAAGTAAAAAAAATAGAAATCGATGAGAGTGTCTCGGCGGTCTCATGCTGCCTACGGCGGTTTTGGCAAAATAGTAGAGTGCAAAAATAGTTGCTAAATTATGCTAACCCCTTTGTTTCCTATTGAGTAATCAACACCTTTTAGAAGTAATTAGTACCTTTTGTTTTCACGGAATCAGCGAGTGGCTTCAATTAACCCGTGAAACAATGTGTAACAGTCAAAAAGCCCACATGCATTCAAGAAGCATTTGCGCGATTTTCTCACGTACGAAAAATTCCCCAACTTTGATTTTGAACCAATCAGAAAATATCATTCCACAAGAGAAAAAGAAAGAAAAGAAACGATCGCGAAGGTTCATGGGTGCACGTGGGCCTTTAAAATAAAGATAAAGAAAGCAAAGAAAAATGTYCAAAAGAAAGAGTAACAATAGAATCAGTAAAATCAAATCAACCTACCTTTGAAAAATTTGCCACAGGTTTTAATTGATCGCCTTTAGGTATTTTATCACATATTCCAGCAGCAGACGCATCAGAATCAGAGTTACAAGACTTACGGACTTCAGTTAGGTTTTCTCGRGTTTGGTTAAGCTGAATACGTAACGTCGTTCCAAGTTCTTGGAGTTCGTTGACGGTGGTGTTGATATTGTCTAATAAGCTCTTTACTACAACGATTGCTGGCGATGAAAATACAGTTTATTATTACGCGTACTAATGATGTACGATTACGCAGTGAAGCTACGTCTGAAATGCGTAGTTGAAACACGCACGGACGCTAACATTGGCACGGAAACGCAAGACAYCAAACGTAAAAGTTATGGCGGTGCAGATTGTTCACTTACAATTTTCATATTCATATATGGATTCTAATAAAGGACGAACCAGTTTCCGCGCGTCTACCATTACAGGCTCGGCTACATGTAAAGATATACCTGCAAGAGATCAAAACAGTTAATAAATATCATGAATATAAATATTCAGACAGAGAAATCTAGCACACTTACTGTTTAAATCCTTTTGTACTAGTGACGAAGTAAACTTCATGTTATCCACAACAACGATCTCGAGTTGCTGAAATAAAAGAAATTTTATAAGTTAAACTGATCGTAGAATTTTATAATCATCATTATCAATATTGTAATAATCTTTGCATCATCACTATAGCATCATCATAAAGATTATCACCATCAATAATGATCTTAACAACTACATCTAGATGATATCCGTATGGGGACATTACGTGTGTCTGTAAGGCCAGCCAACAATTAACGCACTGTAATTTAATAATATCAACGTTTTTGCACAAGTTGATTTTTCAACAGCTTTGTTTTCTGGTTGGCACATGCATAGTAGAGGCTTACGTCACACGAAGTATCGCTATTATCACTGACATCATAASTGACGTACCTGGATGGTATTATTCTTATAAGCTATGACGTCATCTATGGAATCTTGAAGAACTGTGTTCAGTATTGGAATACTCGCTCCTAGTCTGTCACTCGATAGAAAAATACAGCTACTACCAATTCTGATTGAAAGACGTTCAAATAGCAGGTTAGTATGGGTTCAAGTAAAATTATTACGTATACACACACATAAAACACGGTGTCATTTTCATTGCGGCTATGACGTCATTAYCATTCCTAATATGACGTCATTATCGTTCAGAAGCAGGGTTAAAAGAGAGTCTTCTTCAATTAGTACCTTGCTCAGGATCACAATATGACCTAAGATGACTTTGCGTTAGTTAGTTTTTTAACCGAAGAATCTCCCTCTCATGAAATCCATATGTATGGGTTTCCTTTGTTAACCATGACGGAAGATTGGGCCCTTACCCATTCCCCACATTTTTATCACACCACCACAGGAAGCCCAGAATCTAGAGTTCRCACATTTTACTTACAAGATAAGAACACTGCATAATGCAATTGCTATTGACAGCCTCTGTCTTTGCTTCACAGGGCTGAATTCCATATCCTCTTCCTCWAGTRTGCCACCACATCGTCCACAACAACGACAGCAGAAGAATATAATGCCAGTGAGAGGAATGATTATAAAACCAAGTAGTGAAATAGAAGCTAGAGCCAGGAAAGGCAGCTCATATTTAAATGCCTGGGATAAAAGAAATGGGAGACAGTTATTCTAATAATTCTTTCTTATTTGTATATGATGCTACTGAGCAATTTTAATAAAATATCTTAAATATCTTAAAAGATATCTAGAAGATCCCTTTCACAGAAACATCTGGTTAAATTAACTATTTTTCTAATAATCAAGTTATCTTTTTCTTCTTTCATCTGAACATTTAATTTTCATTCATCTCAGTTTGGTGTAGTATCAACTATACATAAATACATTTTCAATCAAATTTTGTACATTTATTCAATACTTTATTCATTTGTRTTTTTATTCATTTGTTCTTTATTTATTCATTCATTTATGTTTCATTTCATACCCTCTTACCAATCAATTATTCGGCAAAATGACATACCTCGTCAGAAGCACGAGTCGTTAARTGACGTTCTTTGATGACTTCCTTTATTACACCTGTAAGRAAATTGACATAAAATATCACTCGACAAGGCTAGCAAAATTCATGCCTTTCAAATCAGTCTTCGAAAGATGCCTCAAGCATTTGAAAAGCGTCTCAAAYAGCAAAYAGAACGGTGTGATACGTCCGGGCATAAACGCTATTTGTCAGGAAAAAAATAGAGTAACTTTCTTAAAAGCTAGTAACAATCTATTTTAATCTCGAAATTGTGATGGTCGTSTTTATTTACAATTTTGTATGCAKGTATCCTCGTTAAGAAAAATAACCTGCAAATTTTACAATTTACAAAAGATCTAGCTGTATTTTGTGAGGAATATTTAAAGAAAATTCGTCAGTGTTTTGGTATTTCCTGATTTCTGAGCCCACCCTTTAAGTCTCGTCTGGACAAGTCGAAAAGAAAGGGACGATATCGGATTTTAGTTCACAATGTCAAAATTATACGACAGTTTGGCTTTTGTTTTCACAAACAACAMATCATTATTTATGTCTTTTATTGAATGCCAAGCGAAAACCATTTTAAAATTCAAAACACAGGGAAATAAAAAGTGATTTTCACGTAGTTTATATCAAAGTGTCTTTTAATTACAAGTGGGATAGAAAAACTATAAAAAAAGATTTGTTCCTTCATTCAAGTCACACGTGTTTTCATCCATAAATATGACCATTTTAAATAGACAATACAAACACATCTTCAAAGAGAATCTAAATTTGGTGTAGTGAAGTTAGAAGAACAAACATATACTATCAAATATCGCGTAATTGTTTTAAAATTTGTACACGATCATTTCTTTGCGGTGCTTAGCTGTCAAAGCGCTCGGTACCGTTCGGTGGATGGTTCAACAGCTTCGGTCAAGAATCTCAGCTGGTACCACAATACTTTATCGTTTGTATTTTTGAAACATCTAATGGATTAACCCACTCCAAAAGGCAGACACCTTTACAAGTTTTTTATGCATTGTGAAGCTATACTTTACCGTAAGGAGGCTCGCTTTTCAGAGCGTGAACAAGTGTCCGTGCGATCTCCTCGTAGCTTGAAAGAATCCATTCAGTTTTTGGTACCTCTGTCTTGTATGCAATCCCTTTGGGTAAAGGCTGAAACTTTATATGTTCTCCTTCAATGAGTGTCTTATGTTCAAGTGAATTTGTATCACGAACCAACGCGATAGAGTACAAAAGAAAGACCAAAAGTTTCGAGGCCTGTGCTTTCATGCTTGGCCCGTGCTGTTGAGTGTCTTGGAGACCAAAAGAAATCCACTTTCATGCCTTTTTTTTATACGATCCTCATTTTCTTGCGTAAGGTTTTAAGATTGCAGAGTCATTTCGATTCTAAAGACTCCATATACAATTCTATTTTGAAAACTCCTATAGCGGCTTTTCAATGTAAATTTCACGAAAAATTTATTCGTCCATCACAGTGCATGTGATGTCAACAATAAAACATTATGACGTAATCTCTTCGCTCCTAATGCACTATGGGTAATTTTTCTCAATTTGCTCGCGCGCCTTCTTTTTTAGGACTGATTTTTGTGTGCATGCTTTATATATTTCTTCGTCAAATCTGATACAAATGATGATGTAAGGTCGTCGACAATGAAAATTCATTAAAATACGCATTGAAAATTTCAACGATTTTACTGAAATTTTAAAGAATTATATCTTGCATTTTGTGGGCTTCCCTAAGAGCAGAACTATTTTCATATACTCGCACAACAAGTCTGACATGTGGGGATTTCAGTATTATTTATATATAATGTTTTCCAGAAAAGGAATCATAACCTCCTGCAAAGAAAATACCCAATGAAAGGACAATGATTTCAATTTAATAACTTGATTACACTTTTTTTGGTAATTTCTTGGAGAATGTGCTGCTAATTGGCAAGGCATAAAAGTAAACACCACTAACACGTCGCAAGTAGAATGGCTCAAAACGAACATCAACTTGAAAATAAAAAATCTGAACGTCAACTTGAAAATAAAAATCTGACGCGAAGACTGACGGCAAATTCTTTGACCAACTTTTGGAAAGACAGTAGATTATTCTGTTCCCATGCCCGGGGGTCTCTGTCGCTCGTTCCTCGACTTACCTGGTTCAAGAGTTGTTTAAGCGGCGTTGTAATTGCTTATACTCCTCCCCCAATGCCAATCACAGAGTCATTTTATTCCGATCTCAGATAAGCATAATGTTTGATCGGGATCACGCAATCACGATCCTGGTACCATGGTTTGCGGTACCGGATCAAACATTAAGGTTATCTTGATGTCGAATCAAAAATAGTTATTGATCTTAATCGGCAAGTATGCATAGACTGAAATCATGATTTTCCACCTGAAAAATAAGCTGTAAACGCTGAAAGNCCTTTATTACACCTGTAAGCAAATTGACATAAAATATCACTCGACAAGGCTAGCAAAATTCATGCCTTTCAAATCAGTCTTCGAAAGATGCCTCAAGCATTTGAAAAGCGTCTCAAAAAGCAAAGAGAACGGTGTGATACGTCCGGGCATAAACGCTATTTGTCAGGAAAAAAATAGAGTAACTTTCTTAAAAGCTAGTAACAATCTATTTTAATCTCGAAATTGTGATGGTCGTGTTTATTTACAATTTTGTATGCAAGTATCCTCGTTAAGAAAAATAACCTGCAAATTTTACAATTTACAAAAGATCTAGCTGTATTTTGTGAGGAATATTTAAAGAAAATTCGTCAGTGTTTTGGTATTTCCTGATTTCTGAGCCCACCCTTTAAGTCTCGTCTGGACAAGTCGAAAAGAAAGGGACGATATCGGATTTTAGTTCACAATGTCAAAATTATACGACAGTTTGGCTTTTGTTTTCACAAACAACAMATCATTATTTATGTCTTTTATTGAATGCCAAGCGAAAACCATTTTAAAATTCAAAACACAGGGAAATAAAAAGTGATTTTCACGTAGTTTATATCAAAGTGTCTTTTAATTACAAGTGGGATAGAAAAACTATAAAAAAAGATTTGTTCCTTCATTCAAGTCACACGTGTTTTCATCCATAAATATGACCATTTTAAATAGACAATACAAACACATCTTCAAAGAGAATCTAAATTTGGTGTAGTGAAGTTAGAAGAACAAACATATACTATCAAATATCGCGTAATTGTTTTAAAATTTGTACACGATCATTTCTTTGCGGTGCTTAGCTGTCAAAGCGCTCGGTACCGTTCGGTGGATGGTTCAACAGCTTCGGTCAAGAATCTCAGCTGGTACCACAATACTTTATCGTTTGTATTTTTGAAACATCTAATGGATTAACCCACTCCAAAAGGCAGACACCTTTACAAGTTTTTTATGCATTGTGAAGCTATACTTTACCGTAAGGAGGCTCGCTTTTCAGAGCGTGAACAAGTGTCCGTGCGATCTCCTCGTAGCTTGAAAGAATCCATTCAGTTTTTGGTACCTCTGTCTTGTATGCAATCCCTTTGGGTAAAGGCTGAAACTTTATATGTTCTCCTTCAATGAGTGTCTTATGTTCAAGTGAATTTGTATCACGAACCAACGCGATAGAGTACAAAAGAAAGACCAAAAGTTTCGAGGCCTGTGCTTTCATGCTTGGCCCGTGCTGTTGAGTGTCTTGGAGACCAAAAGAAATCCACTTTCATGCCTTTTTTTTATACGATCCTCATTTTCTTGCGTAAGGTTTTAAGATTGCAGAGTCATTTCGATTCTAAAGACTCCATATACAATTCTATTTTGAAAACTCCTATAGCGGCTTTTCAATGTAAATTTCACGAAAAATTTATTCGTCCATCACAGTGCATGTGATGTCAACAATAAAACATTATGACGTAATCTCTTCGCTCCTAATGCACTATGGGTAATTTTTCTCAATTTGCTCGCGCGCCTTCTTTTTTAGGACTGATTTTTGTGTGCATGCTTTATATATTTCTTCGTCAAATCTGATACAAATGATGATGTAAGGTCGTCGACAATGAAAATTCATTAAAATACGCATTGAAAATTTCAACGATTTTACTGAAATTTTAAAGAATTATATCTTGCATTTTGTGGGCTTCCCTAAGAGCAGAACTCTTTTCAAATACTGGCACAACAAGTCTGACATGTGGGGATTTCAGTATTATTTATATATAATGTTTTCCAGAAAACGAATCATAACCTCCTGCAAAGAAAAAAAATCAATGAAAGGACAACGATTACAATGAATAACTTGATTACAGGCATTTTTTGGTAATTTGTTGGAGAATGTGCTGCTTGGCAAGGCATAAAAGTAAACACCACTATTATACGTCGCAAGTAGAATGGCACGAACGACAACTTGAAAATAAAAAATCATAAAACACCTTTTGGTGATCAGAGAAAAAAACCAACTTTTGGAAAGACAGTAGGTTATTCTGTTCCCCTCTTTAAACCATGCACGGGGGCCTCTGTCGCTCGTTCCTCGACTTACCTGGTTCAAGAGAGTTGTTTAAGCGGCGTTGTAATTGCTTATACTCCTCCACCAATGCCAATCACAGAGTCATTTTGTTTTGATCTCTCTGATCAGTCCAGGCGATCTCAGATAAGCATAATGTTTGATCGGGATCACGCAATCATAATCCTGGTACCATGGTTTGCGGTACCGGATCAAACATTAAGGTTATCTTGATGTCGAATCAAAAATAGTTATTGATCTTAATCGGCAAGTATGCATAGACTGAAATCATGATTTTCCACCTGAAAAATAAGCTGTAAACGCTGAAAGCTTCCTGAAGAAACCATCGACATTTTGTGATCTCACGGTGTAACGGGCTATGCACCTTGTCCAAGAATTGGAAATTCAGAAAGACTGACAAGAAATGAGAAATGATTGAAAAATAAATCTGGTTGGCTATAACGATTTTTAGCCTYATTAGAAAGCAGATCTYACAAAACGTGATTCTATAYTGTATTTAATTGGCAATGATGTCATTWTTTGGCTGGATGATTCCATGGTGACAGCTCAAAATATTGCCCTCATGCTGTTGCTATGATTTCATATTTTTGCACTATGAGATTAGTTACTAATAAAAAATTAATTTGTATTCAGTTGCAAATTAGCTATAACATTTATAGTCTTTCGAACTACTACATGTTATTAGTGATGCTACGTTCAGCTGCGAGTGTTTGTATTCAATCGTAAAAAACTTCGTTGTTTTCACTAAGAAAGTATTTTAATTATTTAYCAAGTCCAAAATAACTCACACTTCTGTAAAAACGAAAGTTGCTAAAGTAATATGTTTACTTTATGTTGTTACAAAAACTTTTCATCACATGAAAAACTTTACTAAGTAAAARATAAAACGCTCTTTGTTATATCAAGCTGGATGACGTACACGCATGACGTCATTATTGAATCCGCGAAATGTAGTTGAACCGAGCAACAGCAACAGCACCTTCGTTGTATCGCTTTTATAATATTTTGTGGTTGCCTGGTTTAACCAAACTCTTCTCCCTTTATTGGCAACTAAGTTTGAAATTTAATTAAGGTAAGGGATTGTTGTATTTACTTTTGTCGATATGATAGTTTTGAACGATTTTCGAAAGCTCGCTGAAGAGCTAGTTTGTAGCATGGTGGCAACGTCGTGCTGAAGAGAGTCACATATTTTGCTTTTTTTTTCGAGCATTGTGGCCGTATTACTAAAGAAATTTATTGCTAACTTTTTCCTTTTGTCTTTAGGATACGTATTGAACTAAGTTAGCTCTAAAGAAACGAGGAAGATCGTACAAGAAGACTAGTTTCGAGCACATTTTGAGTACACTCGACAGTGACAGCTTCGAGTGCGGCTSTGCAAGAGAATTCAAAACTCCTCCAAACATGCAGCTCTACGCCATTTTTTTAGCATTATATCTGTGTTTTGCTAGTTACACAACTACGTTTGGGAATAAAGTTTACGATAATGGGACGATTAACTTTTCTCCAAGGAAAGCGAGTGAGTTTAAAAGTTCCTTGAAGACAACATTTGATGATGAAGGTTTGGGTCCTTGGTATTCCTTGGCGAATAGCTTTATAGGCACCGTTCTTAACAAAGATCCCTGGCGTAAGTACATTTCAGTTTTTATGTGTGATATACCGAGATCTTTTGTTAGTCAAAGTTTTTTTTTGAGAGAAAGAACTTAAGTCTTTAACAAGGAAGTATTCAGCCGTCATCATGACGCGAAGTTTTGCGTCGATTAAGCTTAATCACAAACATTTCTGACCTTATATATATGTCTTTCGTCAAGATTAACTCTTTATTATATACTTTTTTGATATTTCGAAAATATAAGAAGGATAATGACACTTAATTTTTATGACGTGACGAGCTGTTGCATATGATAGTGACTGTACAAAGTACAGCCAAATGTAAGCTAACTTTTCTTCGAATTTTAGAACTTTCAACATAAAAACCTCAATGATAAAAGCTTCTGAGTTAGCTATAAGATCCAGCCTAGAWCTTAATTGTGATATCACATGCATCTTAGTTTGGCATTTGTTTGTCCATGGTTGGTTTTCTGTAGGGTTTTATTTACATAGGACAACCAATTGGCATTCAGAAACTTTTCATGGAATTGAAGTCGTATCAGGTTTCTTTTGAAATTTTAGTAATGAATCGCGGGACTCACAAAAGTGACTTCCAGTTCCTTCCTTCCATGCTTTTGACACTCTAAGAAATATATTAATTGACYTGTGTTTGTAATTACCTTTATATTATTTGAACTGACGCAGTTTCTAAACTACAACCTCTTTTAAAATATTATACAAGTCAATTATTGCTAAATCCAATTCACAGTTATGTTAGATGTAACTTATGTTAGAAGTAACTTTCATGTTATCCAACACTATACGTGTAAATAGCCATGCTTGAGTTACGCTCTGATAATTCTTTTAGAAGCAAGATTTTGAAACATCTCAGATATTGTGTAACAATCTCTCATACGTCCACACTAGACTGATTATATGTGACWTTCATTTGAAACTTAGAAAGATAAATTAACAATTCTTCCCTTTGTCCTAAATCCCCCCCCCAAAAAAAATAACCTCTTCAACTTTTCTTTGAAAAGGGGGCCTTATATTATCCCAATATGCATTTTCACTGTTTCATCTGTTCTTATTTTTTCTAATTTTTAACCAATTTTTCTGTTTCTCTTTCCCATATTGTTATTATATTTAGAGAGTGTTGTACAGTCATGTTCAACATTAATGCAGCATGACTATGTCATGTGATGAGGGGTTTTGAACWTGCAGATTTTCATGTAGTTTTTGCTGATTAATTATTGCTGTTATTCAAAACAGAAGTGCAATAAACTAGTTCTATTTTTGCTATGAGTTTGAACTAAAAAATGCATATTTTACAAACATATTTTGATGCCCATAGCAACAGAACACAATACACACTTGCCCTATTTTACATGTCAAAGGTTTTCCTAGTATAAATCATAATATATCTTTTTTATCTGTTGTTGAATATTCCCAATTACAAGCATTTTTTTTATTCAGAAGATTTGGTAAATTATAAATATAAAATTCAAACACTAATACTCGTTTATTTTAACTGTTATCTCAAGTAAAGTCATTCATTTTATCCGTTTGTCATTGTTATGGATGGATAAATGGCTGATATAATTCACTCCTTCTAAGAATATCAGGAAAGATATCTTCAATGAAGTAGATAAGGTGCTCAACATGCACTAGTATCAAGTTAAAACAAAATTTCCTTGGTTTCTAAGATTGTGGCTAATTTGACATTCAAGTTGAGCCAATGTCAAATCGAAACAGTTTGACAATCATGCATGACAAATAAAGGCTTAAGCTTCAACATTATCTTTCCAAGTGGTGATCATTATACCATACCAAATCAGGACGGATAAAATTGTTAGCTTCCAAAGCAACATATTTTCATTGAGGCATTTTTAAATTATATTGTTCTTTTAGAAAAAGAGCCACTAGAATTATTTTTTATACAATGAATTTTAATGCTTATATCTTTGTTTCTTCCCTGTGGCTTGTCCGACTCCAATTTATTCTTTTGAAAGTCACTGTSTAGGGTTAGAATCTGAAAATAATGATTTGATGTCAACTTGTATAGAAAAGAGAATARTGCAGAACTCGTTGGACTGAGGTCAAACTGTTCTTTTTCAATGATGTTATGARTATATTKTTTGWACTCTAATGTAAATGGTATGTCCAGTATTCTAATTTATGCTCAACAGKAACTAGTAAAGTTTCCCTCCTTTATGTTTGTGATAGATAAGTTAGTTTGTAATTTCCATACTCAATTTGCCTTTATTAAAATGTAAATTTATTGAAAGTGCAATATTTTTGTACTCAAATGAAAACATTTAATGGTTATCCATGTGTATTCTCATAGATGAACTCATGCATTAAAAGTATTTTGAACCTCTCTAMTATATTCTTGAACAATCAAAAATAATATCCTTAAGAATTATTGTTAAGTTACTTTGTAATATAGTTCCATGGTTCCTTAAGGACAACATTTATTTCTTCAATTCTTACATCGAAGATGAATTCAGTGTTATTTTTTTATGATAATTAGAATAATTGTTAGGTAGGAGGCGTAATACTTAGCATAAATTTGCTCAATGAAGATTGGCCTGGATGTTAAATTTTCTTCATTAATAAATAACAATGGTGCTATCAAAATGATTCAMCATTATTTAATGCTTTTTATCTCATAGGTCAAAGTACAATATTCATGTTTTTTAGTACTGTTTGTTCCCTTAAAGTGTTGATTTTATTTATATGCTAATAAAAAATGTTGAAATTTATTATTCAAGATATCAATATTTAATGGGCTGAACCTGCAATGATTACAGCAATTAATTAAAATTTGTTTTTCACATTATGTTATTGTTATATGCTAAAAACACTAACTTTGTATRACTAGTAATAGTCAGTAATAGCACAAAACACTAAAATGTTCTGCATAAACATCACTGAAACTGTTTTAACAGTTAAAAATTGTGCTAATTCTATTGTTTTCCATTGTTCAGTGAGCACTATATTTAGCTGTATAAGTGCTGAACACATTTAGTCCTTGTACCCTACTCAAAATCATTTACAGTTGGGTCTAAAAAAAAAACATGTTTTACCTTGAAGATTGTTAGAAAAAATGTACAAAAAAAGAGCTGGAGTAATATATTGCCTTAAATATTGATCAGTATTTTCTGACAACAAAGAAAACAAAGAATTGCTGGCTTTGCTTGTCACCTTAATACTACTTCATTTTCTTTGTAACCTATACAACCTATGTTACATACTACTTAGCAAGGCTGGGAGAACCTGGGACCAWCACATAGAATGGTTGCTAACTYTATTAATTTCTGTTTTCAGCACTTGCTGGCAAAGGARTYAATGAAGGGATTGGCAAATTGGACATACAAAAGGATGTATGTATATTTGACATTATACAATACCAGTAACATTCACACCAAATTACAAATGAATAAATGATGAATGATACATTGTCGATTGTGATAATTTTGTATTAGATGTGAAGGATTTCTTCGCATTAATGTGAAAGCAGCACAATAGTATTGCAAATTTAATATCATTATATTTAAAGTATTATCTAATTATTATATATTTTTTATATTCAGTAAACTTTTTTCAGTAAACATTTTTTATATTATTTATTAAAATATCCACAAAACTTTAAGACAACCTTGAAATGGGAATATTTTACACCTTTTTGCATTACATGTACTCAATGCAATTATGCTACTAGACCATATTTCAGTAGCCAATAAGAATGCTGGATTGATGGTACATAGATACTAAGCGTTGATTTTACACCACTTGACCTTACGGATTTTCTCTCTTMTCATCTTTTAAAATCATAATTTGTTTGTGTAAGTGTGTAAAAGTGCTAATAATTTGTTAATATGAATCCTAGGTCATTGAAGGATACGCCATTGGCATGATTGTGACTSTTYCCWTTGGAATATTATTCTGCCTTCTTATGCCAATCGTTGGATTCTGTTTCTGCTGTTGTCGTTGCTGTGGCAACTGTGGAGGGGAAATGACACAAAAGGACTCACCCAGAAATGGCTGTAAACGAGRTGTTTTTGGAGTGATCCTTGCCATTATCACTCTTCTAATGTTGTAAGTTTATCACTGACTAGAACTTATCAGCCAGGGGTTAAAATAAGAGTAGGACATACTGGCTCCACCCAGTTATCATTCTTTATTTTTTGTCCTAATAATATCAACAAACATTGCAACAACAGTGACGATGGACATGAAAACGTACTAATGAAATAGTGCTAAATGACACAATATACCGTGTAGTGAAGGTCAAAAAATAGGAAACAAAGGAATATGCATAATTCTGAGTAAACTGGCAAAATGAAGGAATTCAAATTATTCAAGACAATAGTCTTCTTCAAAAATGTTTTCATGAACACCATCTGGGAATATGGTTATTACCTACATTGCCTACGATAAATGTAATCCCATGAAACCATTTTMAAATGACTCCTTCAAAGTTCGTATATCTAATGAAGCATTCTTTGGCATCATTTTCATTAACATATAGTAAGATTGAACCTTCATAACTTAAAGACACAACACTGAAATGCAGGAATATTTCACCATTTAGTTATTTACTTTATATAGAATCAGTTCACAGAGAATCAGAGATATTGTGTCAGGCATCATAACACTTAAAACAATGTGATACTAACAGTGATTGAAGGTTTGATATGTTTTTGATATTATTTTCTTTTTTTCTTTAGTGCTGGTGTACTACTGACCTTTGTKTGCAATGACAACTTGAGCAAGACTCTTGACAAAGCCAAACAAACAAGCTCTGGAATTGTATCTGAYACATCAAACTTTATCAACGAAACATTAGCTGTAAGTTTRAAAAATTAAACTGTTATTTATTAGTATTTATTTATTAAATTTTATCGATTGATTAATTATTGATCGATTGATTGATTTTTTGATTTACTTACTTTTGCTTTGAAAAAAAGATACAAACAAAACAAAAAAACAAACAATTTTTAAAATATATTTTGATAACAAAAAATTATAGATGTAAACTTCGAATATGCATAGAATATGAAATACTGAATTACAAGGTAAGTGAGAGAAACACAACAGAGCAGGGCTCCAATTAAAGTGTCCCCTAGCTACACATAGAACACACGTACACACACAAAAAAATAAATGGATAATTTAATGTACTAAATGTTAAATTGCTTTACAATAATAAATGGAGGTTATACAGAGGGAAAGATTGTTTAATTTGTAAATAAATGGGTGAATAAATGAAAAGAAATGGATGGAAGAAGATGGATGGATGCACAGATGGTTAAATTATCTTTCTCATCAATATATTTCTTTCTTTTCAAGAGTTTCGATAATGTGGTGAACGCCGACTTGCCTTTCACACTTAAGCAGCTAGAACACGATGTAAGTGATGACCAACTTAAAAAGCTGGTYGGAGATCCATTTGTTAAGCTGATTGACGACACTGTTGGGAAGCCAATAGAAGCTGTGTCAAAACTTGCAGAAAGTAAGCTACTTCAGTCTTGACATGCCTGGACAAAATGACTTTTGACAATTGTAGACACAAATAATGTTCATGTAGAGTGGAAGATTTCCTTATTGTACATGTACAGGGTTCGTACGGAATTTAGTCTGTATTTTATTTCTCTAGGTCTGGAAAGTCATTAAATTTTTTGTTACTTTAGCTCATTGAAAGCCATTGACAATTTTCTTTGCATAATTTTGAATGGAACTATTTTGGGAATGAATTTGATAAACATATTCCATAAGCCAGTGCTGCTTAAATTGAATACCTGCCAAATTGCAACTTGTTGAAGGTCAAGTATATGAAGTGGTAGTATGTATGAAGTTGGTCAGTGGTATTGAAAAAGTCATGGAGTTTGCATTGAGACCTTCAAAAGAACACAAACCCTGATTTACTATATTATGATTATTTGGATCTTGCGAATAGAATCATTCAATTGCCTTATTAACAATAATAGGATTTTTTAAAGGACTGAGATGTTTTATCATTAATCATTATATATTAAATTTTCATTATCAATATCTAATTCTTTTCCTCCTAATMTTAAATAGATTCAAAGAAGATGGAGAACCAGTTGGATGTCATTACTAACAACACCGATTTTCTACAAAGTAAAGCAAATGAGTTAGAAAAAGGGCTCAATGATACCACAGATAACATTACCGCAATGCAAAKTGACTGTGYTTCAATAACTCCTTCAATTTCTATCTGTGATGCTATTAGTGGTATTTCAGTATCTCAGGGTGCAAACTTCAACAACCTTCCAAARGTYWCCCAGCAATTGGATAGTGTCCGTAAAGTCACTCAACAAGACTTTGTAGGCTCTGCAGAAAAGGTAAAACAGTTTGTTTATTGGAAAATACATGATTTTTCAAATACATCAATTAAAAAGTTATACGATTTGTATGTACATTATGTTTAGGGTTTAAAAGAGGTTAGGGACATCCCAGAAACAATGATCAACAAGACAAGAGATACAAGAAAAGGTGATTCATTTCTATTTGATTTTAAATCATGTTTGCTGATGAAAACTGTAWTATTGTACTCAGACTAGTTACACCTACATTTTTTACCTTCATAAAACATCTTTGACTAGCTTAAAAAACTCCAACACTGATTTTTGCTGAAATGTTTGAGAAGTTATGAGTTAAGTATGGTGCTCTTCATAATTATCATGTACAAGACAAGCTTGTTTTCCATATTGAATATGTCAATTGACCTATGGTATAATCATGTCGGCACAGTARGAATTGAAAAGACTCAGAAAGACTCGAAATTTGGACCTATTAATTAAGACAGTTAGTTGAATGAACTATAGTGTTTTGAGTTTTGATGTACATCATTTATCAATGATAGCTTATCTACATTTTATTTGATATCAGTCACTCTGATCCCCTCTGGCGACCATAATCCTTAGTATTAAAACTATAATTGAATGTTTTGGTGTGACGTAATTATCAGATAGGGCAATTATAGGGACCGCGGAGCGGGAATTTGGAGGGGCTAGTGACTGCCGAAGMAATGAGGTACTGTGGGGGGTCAGGGGGTATTCCCCCCGGAAAATCTTGAAATCTTAAACTCTCGGAAATGTCACTTCCAGCGTTATCCAAGACATATTTCWGACCGCTAAAGCCGCACACACGATATTCAATAAAATCCCAAAGACTTCGCAAAAAAGRTTCAATTTTAAWGATMTGCGCRCAGTTTTTACACAATCTTCATAGAATGAAAAGTGAAATTTCATAAGGAGGTCCTTCGCTTCTTTATTTAAGAAAATTCAAAATGGCGGAAAAATTATTGGGGGGGGCTGTAGGCCCCCAGCCCCCCCCTGCTCTGCGATCCCTGAATTAGGAGACTCTCAATAGCTCATGAATTATTAATGAGTTTTTAATATTGCCATATCACAGCAGACAGTAATCTTAAATCTTYCTTGTTGACATTATAGATCTCAAGAAAATGATTGACAATGCTACAACAACATTTAACAACCTACTGGCTGATGTGCGCAAAAGTGCAGATAAGGTGAATATCTACGACAGTAAGCACGCAAAAATATTATGTATGTTAATTAATATAATATGGATTAAGAACATCACACTGAAATTTGAGCCAATAAGAACAAAGTATATACAACTAGGGGGTATTTTTGGTTAGTATTACTAAAAAATATAGAAATTCAAGAAAATTTTGAGAACATTTTAAGGCTCAGTTATTTGTCACTAAGCACCTCTTAATAATAATAATAATAATAATAATAAACTTTATTTAACGATGAGAAAAACCAATTTAGCAATACAGCTAATCTCACATTGGGTCATCAGAACACTCTCAGGCTCTGGGCGTCTGAATTGAGGTGTTTTTCTGATGTAGGGGTTTAAGTTTAATCACTAAGTTGGACTGGTTGATCAAAGGGTAAAGAGTACTGACTAAACTTTGTTTTTGCAAAATTGTTTTTAGACTGTACTGGATCCCCTAAAGGACATGAGAAAACAAGTACATGATGGTGTGGATATTGCAAAAGAATATGACCGATACAGGTACTAAGTACATTGGAATTAATTCAATCAGTATTTTTATATGTAATAGGACTCCATGCTGTCCAATTAAGAAATAATTGGACGAGGAAAATTCCGAGGACTGCCAAAAATTGGACGAGGCCGTGGCCGAGTCCAATTTGGCAGTCAGAGGAATTTTTCGAGTCTAATTATTTCTTAATTGGACAGCATGGAGTCTTATTYCCTATTAATTATATAGCCACATATTGATCCCAAATAGGTAAAAGCCAACCAAAAAAATTTATAGCAAAAACCCAATTGAAAACCTGTCCAATTAATTTCTTAATTGGACAGGATTCCAAAATTAATGAAAAATCCAGCTTTTACCTATTTGGGATTAATATGTGGCTATATAATTATACGTATAATTATATTAAAAGTACTTTCAAATATTGCCAATACAGAACAAAATTCATCAAATTATATAATAGATCAGTGGCAGTTCCTTAATATAAGAACAAATATTAAAAGCATTGATTTAGGGTTTCTTTCAATCTTGGCAGCTGAAGTCACTTGTATTTCTAGGCCGTTAAGGCTTTTCYATTCGCCCTGTCAGTAATTATGAATTTTTTTTTATATTTTTTTTTTATTATCCATTTATTAAAGGTGGTACGGTGGTGTTGGTCTAACATGCATTTTATTGCTGATTGTTGTGCTCATGGCTCTTGGATTGATGTGTGGTATCTGTGGACATGATAAGCATGCCACGCCCTCAAARAGGGGAACGGTATCTAACATGGGAGGCAACTGTCTTATGGCGTAAGTTGGCATTATTATTATTTTTGATTTTTTTTGTTTCATGTCTAATATATAGTTTATCTGTAATATATAAAATATAAGTGAGAGACATTCTAGAGACCTTTATGGGCATTTAAACTTCAAGCTGCAAGTGAGCTGTTTTAAGCCAATAAAGGCCAGACACTAATATTTTATATTGCTTATCAAATTCCATCATGAGCTAAAGCATATTTTGCTAAAAACAGTATTATTTGTTAAGAAAAAGTCGAGATTAAAGTCATATGCAATTTA